CAGAGCAGCATAAGGCATGTCTGTCCAGGAGCCCTGCCAAGGGGCAGCGTCAGCCAGACCCGGCAGTGTGGTGGTTATGCACCAGTGGGCAACTCCACAGGCTGCCTTCACAGAAAGCAGGTAAGCACGGCTCCAGGGTGGAGGCAGAGGGGAAGCTGGGCAGGCAGCAGGCCGGAGGCCCAGGGAAAGGGACCCACAGTCCAGCCAGAGCAAAGTTGGGGCTTAGGCACCCTGCACGGCCCAGCCACTCTTACAAGCCTGGCCTGGCAGCGTGGTGAATCTGGGCCTCCGCTCCCTTCCCAATCAGCACCGTCCCAGGGGCCTCACGTGGAGGGTGGATTTCTCCACCACGCAAAGGCAGTGATGTCAAGAGGCAAGAGGGAAGGATGAGCTGGAAAGAAACGGGAGGCGGCGAGGCGGGACGAGGTTGACATGCAGAGTCAGAGCAGCTCAGAGGCTGCCCCTGGGGACAGGGACCTCCGCTTTCCTTTTGGCTCAAAAACTGCTGGGCTCACCGCTGTGCCAGGCTTTGAAGCTACTGCTTCCTCAAACTCTCCCCTCCCACTCCTCCTGGGGGGCAGTGAGATTGGAGGCCCACACCCGTTCTCCACAGCACTCCCTCCTGCCCACAGGCCCCTTGGAGCAATGGCAGAGGGTGAAGGAGATGCTGGGAGGAGAGACCATGGGTCCAAAATCCGTGCCCCAATCTGCTGTCAAGGGCAATGCCTCAGCAACAAAGCCTCCTGGAGAGGGTAGGATGGGGGTGCCAATCCCAAATGCCATAGTCTGGGGCTTATAGTCTGCCAACCCCGTCCCCGTATCTAACAAGACACGGACTTTGGCTCACTCTCCAAATGACCACTAAACCTGTGAAAGCACATGTCCAGGGATGTGTCCACCCACCTCGCTGCATGTAAAAGGACAGGCATCCTTCCAGGTTTCTCCTTTGAGCAAATCCGCTGGATAAATTCTCAGTCCACTCTCTTCCTCTCCTCACCTCTCCTTCCCTGTACCCTCCCTTTCTTCTCTCCTAAGAGGATGAGGGAGCACAGCGTGGTGGGCTCCCCCCGGCTCTGTGTCATATTCTATCCAAGTCTGAGGGACCCTAGAGAAACCCTCCAGTTCACCTTCCTCACCCCAGCCCAGAAAACTGAGACTCAGGGAGGCCGAGGGACTTGCTCAAGGTCACGGGGAAGTTTGCAGAAGAGCTGCTGAAAACCCAAGCCTCCTGACCCCCGGTTCAGAGCTCGTTCTAATAAATCAGGCTTTTGGCTCTCAGATGCTCCTGCTGGTAATGTCCAAAGGACCCAGTTCTGGAACCAGAGAGATTTGCAGCGCAGGTGGAGAGAGTGCCCCCGGACCTTCCTCAGAGGATGGGGGCAGGGTGGCCTGAGGTGTGGAAACAGGGAGAAGGAGAAAAGAAACAGGCTAATGATGGGGGGTTGAGGAGAACGGGCAAGGATAGCAAGTGAAAGGCTTACCCCAGTCTGCTGACGAGTGCAAATTATATTTATATATGTGCTAAATACAGTCACTATATTGGAGTTTTTCACTAGGATCACAGCATACAGAATCAAAGGTTTGCATTTCGTATGGAATGTATCCAAAGAGGCCAGCACCACAGTAGGACAGCTTGCAATCACACACCCTGATAGTCTGGACGAAATAAAGTTCGCGGAATTTTATTTAAGTTTTTTTTTTTTTTGTATTCGTAGTTGTTTGTCATCGTACCAATGCATGCAAAGCATTCCACTCCCAGAAACAACGCCAAAATGAGGTAATAGGAGTAATAAAAAAAATTAGTATCCTTTCTAAATAAATAAATTATAATTAAAAATGCAAAACAACTATAAAAATAATTAAATAAGAACCCACGATATCTACAAGTTAGTCATAAATTATGATTGTTAAATATAAGGCATTTAAACTCACAAAACCCTGTAAACTAGCAACGTGCCATGTTTTTTGTTTTTTGTGTTTTTTTTTTTTTTCATTTTTGTTTTTCTATCAGCTGAAATCGCTCTAGCATTTGCTCTACGCGCGCGCAGGAGATGAAACACGAGGGGGGGACCTGACAGACGTTGCTACAGCCCCACGCGGGGAGTGTCTGTCCCGCCGGTAGGCGGGGGCTTGGGGGATTTCTTCAGGAAAAAAAAATCTGGTGCTTTTTCTTCACCGTTGAAAAAACTGTGCTTGTTCATTAGGCGTAAAGAGTTAAGAATACTTGCACGGAGGCTGGAAACATTTGCAGAAGAGGAGCTTGAGTCCCGCCACGGGTAGGGGGCGAGGGCTGGGCCCGGGGCCCAGCTGGAGGAGGAGCCCAGGCTCCGCCCCCGCCGCGCCAGGTGGCCTGGGTTTGTGGGTTTCGAAGATTGGCGTCCTTGGCGACCCGCTGCGGCCAGGGCTGCAATGCGGCAGGAGGCCCAACTGGAATCCTGGGGCAGCTCTCGCCCCAGAAGGCACTCATGCGTCTCAGTCAAGAAGGGGCCGAAGGACGACAGCGGGCTGAAGCCAAAGCCTGCCTGTTCTCCAGTCTTCCCAGGCTCCCGGACGTCGAGGGAGGGGAAGCACAGACCCCTCTCCTCTCTTCTCACCCCGCCTGGCTGCCTGCTGAGGAAGCGGGTGGCTGGGAGGTGCCCACCTGCAAGGTAGGAGGGCCCCAGAGAGATGGGCATGGGGGGCTCCAGGATCTACCCGCAAAGTCAGAGCTGACCTCTCCCCTCTGGGTGACCTTCACCCCACTCACTGGCTAACGTTAGCCCGGGGCACTCAGGGAGCCTGCAGAGAACTGGGGGGAGGAGGGGACCCATCCCACTCTCAGCCTATGATACAGGCATTAGTGCCTTCGGGGAAGGTTGTTGTCAACAGCTTGGTGGGCACAGAGCTCTCCCACCTTGAAAAATGTGTTGATGTTAGGATCAGAGAATGTGATTGTTGGAAGGAAATTTAGCAAGCATCCAATCCAACCTCTTTGTGTGCAGCTGAGGAAACTGAGGCCCAGAGAGAAGGAGGCAGGTTCTAGAGCTGCCCACTTTGTCAGTCAAGAGCCAAGACGGAAGCCAGACACCAGCTCCCGTTCCCTCCGGCCTCCCCACCAACCCACCACCTGCTGGCCTTGCAAGCCAGCCTAGGAGAGAAGAACAAAGGACTGAGACTAAGTGGGGAGTGACCTTCCCTGGACCACCCTGCCTACCTCTGGGTCAAAGCAGGGTAAGGAGAGTTCCCAACTTCCTGGGGCTGCTAGTAACTAGCTCTCTCCAAAATCCTGACAAGTACTTAACCACTCACGGGCTCTCCAGCCGTTGGCCCAGGAGACACTGTTCACACACTGCAACCACTGAATGGGACAGTATAATGCTCGTGCCATTAACCTCGGATCAGACTAGCCACCCTTTGCGCACTATTGCCTTAGCTCCTCAACTGGACTGTAAGCTCCTGGAGGCCAGGGATGTCGTCTCCCTGGCTGTTGTCTCCTCCAGAACCTGCACTGGCAGGTACTCGGTACGGATGGTCTTGGGCTGAGTGAGATCCTTGAGTAACCCTCCTTCCAGAAGCCATGACCCCCCACTCTCTGCCTGCAGGTGTCCAGAGCAGCCATCCCTCCACCTGACAGCTCCACATGTACTAGAAGGTTCTACCTCAAGCCAAAATCTGCCTCCCCATCATTTTTACCCATTGGTCCTGGTTTTACCCTTGGTAAGCAACAATGCAGACTCAAATTTTCTTAACCTTATGGAATTTCTTCATATATGTGATAAGTATCCTGTTCCCCTTAGTCTTCTCTTACTGATATAAAGGCATTGAGACTGGGGCAAGGGGTGAGGGGAGGGGGAGGCTTTGAGGGCAGTGCAAATGCGAGAGAGGAGGAGTGAGCAGGAGAGGCAAAGGAAGAGAGCAGAATTCTAGCTGAGCTGGTGTTTTCCACAGATGGACAAAGAAAGTTGGGTTGGGGTTGGAATTTGGTGGACTTTCGCATCTCCATTCTCTTGTCCTCCCATCTCTCTGCTCCCTTTGAGATTCAGAAAAATTATGGAGTGGTTCAGAAAAACACACTGTATGGTGTCACTTGGAACTTCCAGGTCTTGTCTCCCACCACCCCCATCCCTAAACCCCACGGAAGTTCCCAGGAGAGAGCACAGAATGCGTTGGGCAGAGAGTGTTAATCCTCACAACATCTAGGTGAGGTAGAAGAGGTGGAAATGGGGATGCACTGTTGTTTCTCCCCACTGTAAGGAGAAGGAAACTGAGGCACAGAGAAAGAAAGGGACTTGCCCAAGGTTATTAAAGAGAAAGAGCCAGAGGCTAGGAACACAGGGCCTCCCAAACCCAGCCAAGGTGGTCTCCGGGCCAGGGCCATCTCTGAGGGACTTCATCAGGATTTGAGACATTCCAAAGGAAGCTCAAGGTCCTCCTCGAGGTCCACGGTGTTTGACCTCAGCCCTTGCGTGCTAGCTGAGAGCACTTTGGCCAAGACCAGGTGTCCATCACCTATGCTACTTTACCTTTAGCATCTGGTTAATTTTTTGCATTCGAGAGGCAGTGGCCAAATGGCCTCTTTGCGACAGGGCATAAGCACAGCCAAAAGGAAGAAGCTGGCGTGAGCAGGGGTATCCTGGCTCCGAGGAACCTGGGGCAGCTCTGGCTGAAAGCTGACGCCTCCTGGTTCAATGTGGAACTGGGGGGAGGGGGGGATGGTTGGAGCTAAGTAGATGGGCTCTGGAAGTGGGGAGCCTTCCTTCAAGACAGACCTCTCCCCTTCGCCTACTCAAATGCTGCCTTTCCAACCCCGGCTGAGCCCCTCAGAGGCCCATCTAAGTTCCCATCTGCTCCTTTTCCAGTCCTCCTCTTTCCTGGACGCCCCTCCACGCTCCGTGCACTGTAAACATGAGAAAAACAAAAGCCAAGAGAAAACAAAAACAAAACGAGAACCCCCTCCCGCCTCCCAACCTGGGTGAAAAAAAATCATCCTTTTTCACCGTAAACAGGATTTGGCTTTTTTCTTCACCTTTGATTCCTTTTTCCTTTTCTCTCGTAAAGACGGGAAGATTCGGGCTGTCGTTGGTTGGTTCAGTCAGGCACCAAAACAAGAAACTCAATGAGAACTATTTGGTGCAGATTCGGTAACAGCGACATGTCCACCACAGATGACTAGAGCACCACACACAACATTTTTCTTAAGCTAACATGCTCTGGCTGCCATCCACAGAATTAGCTAGAGACCCCTACATGGTTTCTACGTGGTCAAGAGGTATATATACAATCCTTCAAAGGACAGGATTGAGGGGCCGGGCTATCAGCTAGGACCTGCAGGATCACATCTAGATTCTCAGCAGCATGGGCCCCCCCTTCCCACCCCTGCTCCGGGCACTGCCAGCTCCCTCCCTCCCGCAAAGCAGGTGGATGGACATGGACGGACGGACGGGGCAGTCACCACTCTGGACAGGTGGGCCTCCCCCACCCCCTCCTTTCCTCAGACATGGATACCACCAACTCCTCTTTCCACAAAATGTGCTTGCAGGCTTTTCCTCTACATCAAATGGCTCAGAAGGCAAAGTTTGGCTGCAAGGGCTATGGCCGTGGGGGGACCTGGTGAAGGAAAATGGGGTGTCCACTGGCTAATTCCTCCCTCAGCTGTCAGCTCCCAGTTGTGTCTCAATGTCCACTCGGCAGATGGGGCATTTCTTGCTCATGGCGAGCCACTGGTCCACACACAGTTGGTGAAAGAGATGCATACAGGGTAGGCGCCTGGAAGAGAGGAGGGTAAGTCGGAGGAATGGTCAAGGAGAAGGGCCCCGGGCTGTGCCAGGAGCCAAGGGACACTGACTCTACTCGGGGAATGAGGAGACTCACACCCAGGACCACTGGGGGCCTGGCCAAAGAAGGTTCTGGGGGCTCTGCCACGGAGTAAGGCTGTGGCTAGGATGGGAATTCAGGACAGGAAGGAAAGCCCCAAGGCCCTCCTCCTCCTGGCCCTCCAGATCAACCTGAAATGAAGCCAGGACTTTGTGTGAGATCCATTCAGGCCAAATGTCTCTCTGTTCTCCTAGCTTTGTGTCCGGGAGTCCACACCATGGGCACCACACATCTAGAATGTTCCACACCCCACCTTCCTAGGACAACCACAGAGCACACTGTGCACACTTGGCACGTTCACACACGTGCACAGGCAAACAAGCACCCCTGACACACGGTGCAGGACTGATCACCAATCCCCATGAAGGAAGAGGGGGGACTCAAAAGGCGGGGCTCCTACCTCACATCTTCTCCATCTTCCAGCAGAGACAGACAGATCGTGCATTTCTCATCTGTGTCTGACTCCTCCCCCTCTTCCTTCTTGCCCTTGCCATCCTGGGGTCTTCGCTGTGTGAAGCAGAGGAAGAGCACCGACTCACCTGGAGGCCCCTGTCTTTCATCCACAGCTGCCCCCTCCCTTTCAGCCTCCTTTCCCTGTGAGTCAGTCACTTTTTTTTTTTTTTTTTTTTTTTTTTTGCAGTACACGGGCCTCTCACTGTTGCTGCCTCTCCCGTTGCGGAGCACAGGCTCCAGACGTGCAGGCTCAGCAGCCATGGCTCACGGGCCCAGCCGTTCCGCGGCATGTGGGATCTTCCCGGACCGGGGCACGAACCCGCATCCCCTGCATCGGCAGGCGGACTCTCAACCACTGCGCCACCAGGGAAGCCCGAGTCAGTCACTTTTTAAGTTCTGAAGTAACACCCAGACTTCTGTGCGCTTCCCAGACCCTTCTCCCCGCCTCCTCCCCATGCCCCCTCCTTGCTTCAGGATACAGAGTGCAGGAGTGGAGCAGCGGAAGAGGCCAAGCAGTTTTTGTTGTTCCAGGCAACTTATGTCCCAGGTCTAAACTTTACACTGTCCTAGAGGCGTAGAGTTTAGAAAGGAATTGAGTACCTAATGAACCAATCTTTGGAGAACTATGGCTTGTGCATAAACAGCTTCCTCTTTTCTAGTCCCCTCATGCTGTCCACTCCTCCTTACATCCTTTCCAACCTATATCCTTGCCTCCAGACTTCTCCCTCCACTTTCAGGTTCAGCATGCTTCATCTATCCATCCATCCATCCTTCCATCCATTCACTCTTTTTTCCCTCCCTCCCTCCCTCCCTCCCTCCGTCCCTCCCTCCCTCCCTCCCTTCCTTCCTTCCTCTCTTTCTCTGAACTAATGTCTATTCACTTTTTCTTTCATTACTAGACGAAGGCAGATTTCCTCAACTGGGCATTACCTCCTATAATTTGTACCACACTTATTCTATGTTGTTTGATCTCTCTGCCTGTCCAGAAATTTCCGTTAAAATAGGTACTAGTTCCACTGTACACCAGAAACTAACACAACATTGTAAATCAACTATACTTCAATTCTTTTAAAAAGGTATTAAGTTTTTAAAAAGGTAAGCACTAGTTCTAATATCATGTTAGACATCATGCAAGCACTCAGTTTATACTTGTTGACTTTAATTGTCCTGTTTTAAATTCTTTGCTAATTATTTGAAGATAGTTAACTAGTATGTAGAAAGTTCCAAGCTCTTGGATGGTGTGGACCATGGCTCACCCTTCTTTAGATACTGCCCCACACTTGGTCAAGTATAAGGCACATCACTGGTGCTTAAAAAAATATTCTGGGGAGGAAGGAATGTAATCAGTGAATGGAATCAGCCCACTTTCTTGTTCCCATCTCCATGCTATGCAGTGAAACATTCTGATAATACCCATGGGAAGAAAACTAAACCTTTTCCCCCCTCTCCAGGGATAAGCAGACTTAAAGGTCATCTTGCCAAGAGAAATCTGAAGAGTCACAAGATAACGATCACCCAGAGAGTGACTATGACCTTCGGGCCAGGCCTAAATGCCAGGTCTCCCCAGTCTGGTCCCTGGTCCTCAGCTCCGGAGTCTGAAGTAGTCTGGGGAATTGTGTAACCTTATTAGAACATACAAGAAAATCTATACCTTCTGCTCTCAGCCTCCCTGTGCCCTATACACCCTACTGCAATACGTTTACCCTTAACCAGAAAATCAGAATTACATCCATAGTCCCATATAATTGTCATGGGTTTGGAGTATGAATGAAGTCATGATGATCTGTCTGCCCAAGAACCCAGCCGTGTTTGCTGGTGGAGTGACCTTCTTTTAGTTGGCCCTTTGAGAAAAGGGAATTCCATAAAAAATACCATTGAGACTATTTTCTATTGTTTTTTCCCATCATTATTCAGGATTTCCTTTTTATAGTTAACAATTTTAACTTAATAGTCCTACCTTGCTTTACTATATCTATATTTCTTTAAACTATATTGTCTCTTTTCAAATCTTATCCTATTTCTTCCTTTGTATTTTTAATCTTTTAGGTCTTCCAGTTTTTGTCTTCTCTTTTCATTATCTATGTAACTTTTATTTTAACTATAAGTTTCTTCAGCATTTTTAATTTAATATGTATTTTAAAGGTTCCCACACAGAACCTTATGTGGGAACTGTCCCTTTTGCCCATACCTTCTCATTTTCATTAACGTTCTGTTTTCACTTTGATGATATTGACATTAAATTTGTATGTAATTTTCATCTTTTCCTAATTCTTGTTTTTTTATATTTTCTTTTTGACTATATTTTTATTTATTCTTATATCATTGCTATTTTAAAATATCCTTTTTTGTTTTGTATTATTTTACTCTCAGTTTAAATTTTTAAATTTTTTTTTATATTTTGGGGGATCTTAAATGCTATCACTTTGCATTTTTAATTCTTCTTATTCCTGTTTTTAATAATATTTTATTCCCCTAAGTCTCCTTTTATTCCCATAATTTTTTTAGCTCAACTCATTATGTCATTGGTTCAGTCCATTTTCCCTTTTCATTCTTAGCATTAGTTCTTTTCCTTATCTCCTCTCAGCCTGTTGAAGTAATGACAGCTGAAGTGTGCATCTCTGGCAGGAGTGAGCCCACCCTGGTCAGGAAGGTAGAAGTTGTTCCCGGGCTCCTGAACGTACCTCACTCCCTTCCACATCCTTCTCCAGAAGCTTCAAGCTCTCCCTCCAGAGAATGATCCTTTTCTCCATGCAGATGACACACTTAATTACTGAAATACTGTTGTTTCCTCTATTAACATACTATCCATGACTGACACATAATAGATGTGTCAGTAAATGTTGATTGGAATCACTGATGGGTAAATCCAGTGCCTCCATGAGGAGCATAGACCAAGGTTCATGGTCTTTGACACTGACACCATGGGTACCTGGGCAAGCCTAGAATCAAGGTGAGAGCAGCTCCCTACTCCTGAGCAGTCACCAGGTACTGGGCACGGTGCTAAGCTGTGTATATGCACTGTCCCACTGAATCCCCAGAGTCCCCCTATGGCAGCTACTAACATATCTTTCCCATTTTGCATGAAAAAGGGCAAGGGAAGGGTCAGAAAAGCCAAGTAAGCTGTCCAGAGTTACACAGCTATAAGTGGAGGTTAGGGACTGAGTGTTTGTCCCCCTCCCCCCAAATTCATATGTTGAAGCCCTAACCACCCCTCCCAATGTGATGGAGATGGGGTCTCTGGGGGGTAATTAGGTCTAGGTGAGGTCATGAAGGTAGGTCCCCCATGATGGGACTGGTGCCCTTATAAGAAGGGAAAAAGACACCAGAGCTTCCTCTCTGCCATGTGAGGACACAGCAAGAAGTCAGCCGTCTGCCAGCCTGGAAGAGAGCCCTCACCAAGAACCAAATCTGCCAGTGCCTTGGTCTTGGACTTCCCAGCCTCCAAAACTGTCAGAAGTAAATGTTGTTTAAGCCACCAAGTAGAAGGCATTGTTATAGCAGCCCAAAGACAGTAGTAAAACTGAAATTCAAAACTGGCCCCGTCTGTTTCCAACACCTAGTGCTCACAGCCACTGCAGCCTGTGGCCTCCTGAGGGGGTGAAGATGGGCTCTGGCTTGACCACCATGAGCATTTTCCTGCTCCAAGTTTCTCAGTGCTTCTCAAGCTTTTAATTCCTAAATTTTAAAAAGTATTGGGCTTCCCTGGTGGCGCAGTGGTTGAGAGCGTGCCTGCCGATGCGGGGGACACGGGTTTGTGCCCTGGTCCGGGAAGATCCCACATGCCGCGGAGCGGCTGGGCCCGTGAGCCATGGCTGCTGAGCCTGCGCGTCTGGAGCCTGTGCTCCTCAACGGAAGAGGCCACAACAGTGAGAGGCCCGCGTACCGCAAAAAAAAAAAAAAAAAAAAAAAGTATTTATTTACCTGTTTTCACGGCAGACTTTATTTCATAGAGCAGTGTTAGTTTATTCGAAAACTCAGCAGAAAATACAGTGTGTTCCCTCCCTTCCCCTCTCAAAACTCACAGAGTTTGCCCTATTAATATCTTGCACCAGTGTGGTACATTTGTTACAACTGATGCACCAGGAGTGATACATCATTATTAATAAAGTCCGTTAATTTACATTAGGGTTCTAAGGGTTTAACAAATGCATAATGTCATGTCATGTCCACCATTATAGTAGCATAAAAAATAGTTTCACTGCCCCTATCATCCACCTATTCATTTGCCTATCCCTCTCCTAAAGCCCCTGGCAACAATGGATCTTTTTACTGTCTACTCTTACCTTTTCTAGAATGCTGTGTATTTGGAATCATACAGTATGCAGCCTTTTCAAGTCAGCTTCTTTCACTTACTAATATGCATTTAATACATATTTTCTGCATCACATCTATTCATGGCTTAATAGCTTATTTTTTTAAATCATGGAATAATATTCCATTGTATGGATCTACCAAAGTTTACGTACCCATTTACTTATTGAAAGACAGATTGGTTACTTCCAAATTTCTTATTTATTTGAATTTTTTTTTTTAATTTAACTCCAATTCCTGGACTCCAATCCTACTCCAGAGTCTTCCTGGAGAGTCTTCCTCCACAGGCTTAGGGTAGAGCCTGTGAATCTGTGGCTTTAAAAGCAGCCCACGCAAACCTGACGCTCACCGAGGACTGGAAACCTATGCTCTGAAGCCTTAGCCGCCTGTTTGTCCACATGTGAGATTGGACTTGGAATCTTTTCTAAGGTAAATCTTAGCCTGCAGTGCAGGTGCTCCCTTGGCCCTCCTCATTCAGATACAAACATTCATCTCTCTGTACACCCACTCACAAGTCCACATGCACACACACATACCCAGCTCCCTTCCTGGTCACACCTGGCAGAAGCAAGGGAGAAGACCCTGGGAAGGTAGCAGAGCTTCAGAGCATCTAGCCAGAGCAAAAGCTTCTAGAGTTCGGACCGTGCCCCTCGGTGGAAAGCTGGGCCAGGGTCAAGTAGATCGTACCCACCCCAACCCCAACTATGCAGGCTGACCTGCTGGTTGGCTCACCTTCTTGTACTTGTGGGGGAAGGTGAACCTCTCAATGGTGTTCTGTACAGCTCCCCGAGTCACATTTCCCAACCTGTCCTCGAGCTGCAGCAGCTCCTACAAAGAGAGAACATGTGGATGTGTGCATTCTGCACGTGCAAACACACGCATGCACTCATGATAAGGAGGAGGGGCACTGCGAGACCTGCAGAGCATTCACGTCGATGGGAAGAATTGTCAAATGCTCAAAGACTGCGAGATCTCTACTCACTCTCTTCTTCTCTCTCCTACTCTCAACCCTGAGGCTACGCCTACCACCCATGCCCTCCCCACCCGCAGGGGAGGGAGAGGGGACAGTGGCATCTCCACCAAGCCGGCGGGAGCCAGGCTGACGGGAGGGTCCCCAGACAGAGGGGCGGGGCGTACCTCATAGCTGTCCCGCACAGCGGAGGTGTGTCTGCTGGCATTCAGTCCCTGGAGAGCAAGGAAGTGAAGCTGAGGGTAAGGGTAGTTTCGGATTTCATGGACGACCTGTTGGGGAGAAAATGCCTCAGACAGGATTCCAGGCTCCAAGAGCCCAGCTTCTGACTCCCCCTCCCGTAGCCAATCAGCGCACCCCTGAGATGCTGCGGTGTTCAGAAGCACTGTCTTTCCTCCTCCTGTGTCCCCCTGTCCTCATCAAGAACCAAGCCTGGGCCGAACCAGCCCCAGAAAGAATAACAAAATCAGTAAAGTAACAACTAACCTGACTGGGCATTTATTTCATGGCAGGCACTGTTAAGCCCTTCAAACGATTAATTGAATCATCTCACCTGACCTGTAACCTGGGTGCAATTACTATTCCCATTTTGCTGATAGGGTAAGTGAGACACAAGTGGATGAAGTAAGTGACAGAACCATGGTTTCAAACGCAGGCAGTCGGATGGCAAAGTTCACTCCCTTCCCCTCTGCTCTGTACTGCCCAGAACAGGGTGGGGCAAGTGAGGGCACAAAATTTAAGGAGGCACCGAATGACTCAGTAACCAAGATAAATAATACTTTAATGTAGTATTTTAAAATCAAAATTAATGCAAAGAATCCATAATGAACAAACTATCAAAATTTTAAATCAGAACAGGCTCTGATCCTTTCCTTGCACGGCCCTGCCTCACTCACCTCACCCTGACCCTCACCCTGTCTCCAGCTGTGAGTCAGAGCTCCTCAGCTTACTCCTGCACGATCCCGGACTTAATCTTTCTATGCCTCAGTTTGCCAATCTGTAAAACAGGGATAAAACCTTTTGTGTGGTGTTTTTGCGAGGCTAGTGATTAGAACGGTGCCTGGTATGCAGCGAGTGCTCAATAACCACTAGCTGTTATTCTTAGGAGATGGTGCTTCTTAAGGCGAACCTTAGAACTTCCGAGCTGACAAGGATTCTGGGATTATTCATCCAAGCCTCTCATTTTACACATGAGGAGACTGAGGTGCTGAGTGGTTAAAGGGCAAAGGCAAGGGCTGGAAGGGCCGAATTATGCTCTAGGGCAGCAGCATGAAGAAGCTGTCTGGAAATAAGGTTTTCAATCAGCCTTTCGCTGCTTTAGTGGACTATCTTCACCTTCATTCCACACAGCTCGGGATGCCAGGTACGCAAAGGCCCCAAACCCCACCACAGTCGCCACACCCTGCGGCGCTGAAGGCCGGCCCTCTGCACAAGGCAGCACCAGATCAGCAGGCAGCCTCAGGGGCCACTTCTGGGGTCTCCTGTGTTCCCCACACCAGGCATCTTCATCCCATTTCACGGATAAGTAAAACCAAAGCCCCGGGAGAAGCTGACCCAATAAATTAACTAAATGAGGTCACGTGGGGTCCAGGGACTACCGCTGCTTGCTCTTAGCCCTGAGCCTTCCCTCCACCCTGCCTCACTCCACCTCCCACCCCCCCCAGACCGGGGCCTGCCACAGGGCCCCTTGCCCCACCCCCAGTGCCCCACCTCCTTTCAGCAGTGCTGGCTTCTGGTCCAGCAGCTTTGCTTTCTTTCCCCTTCAAGCCCAGTTGGGAATAGGAGCTGGGAGGGGAGGGGAGCGGCTGACCTGCCTGTGCTCAGGACACAGCCGGGCAGGACACAAGGGAGCCACAGGCCTCAGCCCACCATTGGCACCAACAGGCAGCAAGGGAGTCAGCTTCCTGGCAGAGCCTCTCACTCACCATCTGCGTGGAGGAGGAGTTTCGGGGAAAGTGGTGCATTCGAGGAGTCGCTAGGTAATGCTGATAGTGCTGGGGCATGGGCCGCACCTGGAACTGAGCGGGACTCAAGCCGGTGTCCACACTGAGATCCCTGCAGGGACACAGCCACGGTGAAGCACAGGTGATCCGGCCATCGGGTTGCAGAAGGGACCTCAGACATCAAGCCCGTCGAGTAGAATCAGAGTCACAAACTGCCGGAGCTGCAAGGGGTTCAGTCTCGCCCAGCCCCGCCCCTCTCTTTACGGCGAAGGGAGCCGAGACTCGGAGAAGCCCCGCCCCTCTCTTTACGGAGAAGGGAGCCGAGGCTCGGAGAAGGAAGGGCTCTGCTAGATCGAAGGGACCGGTATAGTCTGGGCCTCACACTACTTGAGACTAGTGCACCAAAGCCCGTCCCTGAGAGAAATGCTGAAAGAGGAATCCAAATAAGCCGGTCACGGATACAGAGCAAAGGAAAGACAGCTCCAGATAGAGTGGAGGGGGGCAGAGGCCATACTTTAACCACTTTGAGAAAATAATAGGAGAGGGACCTGCAGCTCTGAGGCAGGAAAGCTCTCCTGGACCACCGCCCCTGCTCCTCACCATACAGGAAACTCATTTCACTTAAAAATCAATCAACTGAAAAGGATCCAGTGTTCCTTGGAAAATGGCTAAGTTCTGGTCTGAGACAGAAAAAAAAAATGTGCAACATGAGATTGAAACATCTTGTCATAACTAAAAGCAAGAAAGTTATCAAGGTCAAGTCAAAAGGATTCGGGAACCATCCTGGAGAGGCTCCCACTGGCAGACTTTGGGCATTTTGTATCAATGAGTGTAACTGCAATAGACTAAAATACATCAAATAGGTTCAAATCCGTGAGAATGAAATGATGCTAAAGAAAACTGGTCCCCTTTGAAGGATGCTAGGGAACCAATGCTTCATTTTGAAAACTAATAAATAAAGGGGAAGGGGCTTCCCTGGTGGTGCAGCGGTTGAGCGTCTGCCTGCCAATGCATGGGACACGGGTTTGTGCCCCGGTCCGGGAGGATGCCGTGGAGCGGCTGGGCCCGTGAGCCATGGCCGCTGAGCCTGCGCGTCCGGAGCCTGTGCTCCGCAACGGGAGAGGCCACAACAGTGAGAGGCCCGCGTACCGCAAAAAGTAAAATAAAATAAAAAATAAAGGGGAAGAACCAAACATTTATCCTGCCTTTCCTCTGTTAACTGTACCGCAGGGTAACCAAATCGTGGATGAAGGAAAATTGCTCTTTATGAAAGTTTTCTAGCTAATAAATGAATAAGGAATGATTGAATTATTTGTCATATTCTTTCATCCCCTAAAGAAATAAAGGATCTGGGCAACGATTATCAATTGCTACTAACATCACACAGGAGAGACAACCAGCCATCTGCTGGAAGAACACAGCACCTCGTATGAAGGGTTTTTTGCCAGAAAATGCAAGTTGAAGCTGTATCTGCTCAAGTCGCAACCTGGGTGCCAGTGTATAGTGAGTTTAGCAACCAAGGGGCGTCTGAGGTGACACCTCCAGAGCATAACCAGCAAAATCCAGATGAGGGGAAACTACAGGAAAAAAAGCCTGATTCAACAAATACTTTTTTTTTTTTTTTTTTTTCGGTACGCGGGCCTCTCACTGTTGCTGCCTCTCCCGTTGCGGAGCACGGGCTCCGGACGTGCAGGCTCAGCAGCCATGGCTCACGGGCCCAGCCACTTCGCGGCATGTGGGATCTTCCCAGACCGGGACACGAACCCGCGTCCCCTGCATCGGCAGGCGGACTCTCAACCACTGCACCACCAGGGAAGCCCTATCTTTTTTTTTAATATGAGGAGCATTAAAGGAATTTCTGCTTCCAGCTGTGATGTCTATACAGTATGACATATATATATATATATTCCTACATTTCTTCTATATATTAGCCCACATCCCTGGAACAACTCCTGATGAGTCTGTCACTTGGGACATGAGGTAACTCTTGGAGCCAGTTGGAAGCAAACTTAGAAATTCTCTTAGTCCAGTCCCTCACTTTTGCAGGCCCAGCGGAGGCCTGAAGAAGGCCAGTGCCTTATCCATGGCCCCAGGCTAGCCAGTTAGGGGCTCCAGGGTTTCCGATCCTCGCCTGGGCTCACCCCATGACCTGCCTCGGGGAAAGGAGTTCCCCGGGGCACCTCACGTGGCAGAAACTCTGACTCTTAGCACCTGCCCAGCAGTCCCAGGGAATCCAACAGATTCAAAGTAGCAGAGAGATGTTCAGGGAATTCTACCAAAAGCAAAGTCCCAAGAAACTGGGAACAGAATCCCTCCAATTCTAGGAATGCTGAGTGGAGAGGCAAAAGACACCTCAGCCCTCAGATGAGAGAGGTGATCTGCCCAGGTTGGGCCTGAGTGGGCTCTGGGATCCCCTTTTATCATCTCATCAAAAATCCCTTCCCAAACCCAGGATCCTCGAACAGGGCTCCTTTGCTGAGGCCGAGCTGCTTGCAGGGGAAGGATAGTAGGAAGCTCTCACCCCTACCCCCTTCTCCGAGGTGCCCAGGCAGGGCTAGGGCTGTGTGGCCATGCAGGCTGCCATCTGCACTGGAGGCAGAGTCAGAACTGTGAACCCAGGACTGAGTCAAAGGAGCACGATGAGGACAGAGACACTGGAGCAGGGCTCAAGGTCAGGGCCAAGTTATCGGGCCCAGGCCAGAAAGGGGAGATTGGGGAGGATTTATCCCCCAAGGCGTGCTGCTCCCACACACTCCCAGGCCAGGATGCTCAGTGCGCACAGCTGCTTGGGTAGGGCTAGAATCTCCTAAAGTAAGGGGGGGAGGGCCAGGCAGCCTCAGGCCTGGGGCTGGACGAGAGCTATTGGGGCATGCCAATTCCTGGAATGACTAGGGCAGAAGTCAGTGGTTTCTGATGATTCTCTAAAGGAAAGGGGGGTGCGCAAACACACTCCCCACCTCCTCCCTCCCAGGGATCCTTGCAGAGGGTGAGCGAAGCCCCTCCTACAATGCATTTCCTGTCATCTAATTTCCAGACCTCACATCTCCTGGCAGAAGAGGCCTCCCTGGAAAAGAGGGGTGGGATGAAAAGCCCCTCGTCACCACTTGGATGGCCCTTGCTGGAGCAGAGCTAATTACTGGGAGGAGAAAGGGCCTCCTACTTGGGAAGTGGGGACAGGACAGGCAGAAATGGCCCCGGGTGGACCCGGGGCGGGACTCAGCCCAGGGCCCTCCCAGCGTCCCCTGCTGGGGCACAGGCCAGCCTCTCAGGGCACCCGCCACTCTGTTTCTCCAGGCAAGCAGGGGTCAGGAATGCAGAGCGACAGAAATGAGCGAGGAGCACAGGAGATTTGGCCAAATAAAGCAAGTCAGCGGCCTAACCCGCACCGCGCCTCCCGCATCTCAGCAGCACCCGCCTCACCGCGTCTCCTATCCCCTCCCACTTGCCAGGCTGGACCTTGTTCAGATCCCTCAGCCGTACACAAGGACCCCAGGTGCTCTGTGTGCTGAAGAGAATTAAACTGGATTGACTTGCCTGCTGAGGGACAGAATTTCATCCAAACAACAATTAAATCTTCCTAATTTGAATCTGCTAATTAGAAAAAGTCTGGGCTGAAGCTGGCCGTGGTGCAATCTATGTTTTAGGAGAGCGTTAAATCTAACAGAGAAAACCTGAGAACTCCCAAGAGCTGGAGACACGGAACCTGTTAAATCAACCATTTCCTGCACCTAGAAGCACCTTTAGCGTCCAGTCAACCAGAGCTACCCTTTTGAACCATTCCTGGGTGTCTGGTCCTAGGCTGCTGCCAAAGCAACCCTTGCCCACACCAGTTTGCCTGACTAAATGGCTGAGTAATGACACTAAGGCACGTCTGTTTTTTAAATAGCCCATCCCTTTCCGATGAGGTTTTTTGTTTGTTTTTACATTCTTTAAAACACACACACACACACACACACACACACACACACACACACACACACTTTTTTACCTCAAAGTTGCAAAAACTTCCTGGATACTCTTCACTCAGATTCCCCAAGTGTTAAAATTTTACTGCCTTACTGCATTTCTATTTCCTTCTCTCTCTCCACGTATACATCCATCCATACAAACACACACACAGAGTTCTCCGTGGATTTTTTTCCCTAAACTATTTAAAAATAAGTTGAAGGCATGATGCTCTTTACCTCTAAATACTTTAGTGAACTACACATCTTTTTCAAGTGTTCAGGTGTTTAGATCCAGCCCTAGTTTAGGTCAGCCCACCCCTGAGCTAGAACCTGTGAGTAGGGTGGGACCAAGTATGCAAAACAAAGCAGTGATGCATCCCAGGGCAGCAAAGCCCTCTGCCCTGAGTGCAGGAGACTGTGGGAAGACGTCACAGGGGCCCGCTGCCTACAAAGACACCACAACCAAGCCCTCAACCTCTCCCCAGCCAATCTCCCCAGTCCTTGCCTCCAACCCAGCTGGCTCTATCTCCATGAGCCTGTTTTGCCTGGCTGGCATGCCCTGGCACTTCTCTCTGGACTCCTCAAGGCCCACCCCCTCCAGGAAGCCTTCCCTGACCATGCTAGCTCCTGAGATTCTCCTTTCCGCCCCCCTCCCAGGGACCACTGGTTCACAGCACTCCCTGAGCTTGGGAAATGCTTTGCATTCCTGTCCCATCCTCCCCTGCAGTACCGCGAACACTGAGCCCAAGGCTGGGCACATGATGGCCCCTAGCCACATCTGAGCTCATTGCTGGAACCAGGACCTTGGGGGGCCATCTGGCCCTGAGGGTGGACAGGGCAAAAGCTGGGGCTTGAAGACAAGGACTCCGGCATCATTGAAGTGAAGGAAACAGGAGCTCCGTGGATCAGACAAGCCCCTCCTCCCTCCCTCCCCCAGGGACCCCACTCACCAGTCAGTGCCCTCAGCCAGATACCTGGGCTGAGGTGTCTGTAGTTGGTGGCCGAAGTCGAAGCTGGGGTGGAGGCGGTGAGGGTGGACAGACACTCGCTCCTGACTCCGCCTGCCCGGAAGGGAAGGAGGAATCCAGGCGTCAGGGCTGCCCAGGGCCAGCCCAGCCCCCAGGAGTGCTCAGCAGCCCCAGCCCACAGCCTGCGTGTGGAGCAGCGGCCTTCAGCCCTCGTCCCCAACTCCAAGGAAGCTTCCTGGGCAGCAGCCAATAACTCAGAAATTCCCGCTGTCTCTGGGCTGCCCACTATACTGAGCCTCTCCCTGGGTGTGACTACTGCAGATCAGCTGTCTCACCCGGTCTCTCCAGCTTCTCTGCTCCTTCTCCTACTGCTCCCCTCTGTCCTTGGTGGGATGTATTCAGGACACACAGACCGGCCTCCTGTAGGCTCTCCCACCTCTGTGCACCCCCTCTGCTCCCACCATGCTCTTCTCCTCTCCTCCACCCTCTCCACACTCTTCCCAGCTTTCATGGCCCAGGGCAAAGCCACCTCCTCCAGGAAGGCCTCCCTGAACACTCCAGATCATGGTGACCTCTCTTTCCTCTGACCTCCTACAGCACTCACCTTCTGTCCCAGGCACCCCAACCTCTACAGACATGGAAGCTTGGGGCCTTAAGGATCATCAGGTCCAGAGGTGCTCAAAGTGTGCTCCAAGCAACCCTGGGAGTCCCTGAGACCCCTTCATGGGGTTTACGAGGTCAAAATGAATTTCATAATAATACTATCATGTTATTTGCTTTTTCACTCTCATTCTCTCACAAGTGAACAGTGGAATTTTCTAGAAACTACATGACATGTGATTCTGCCACATTTGAGAGCAGAAGAAGACTTGAGAACACAGCCATCTTCTATTAAGCCAGGCATGAAAAAGATTTGTAAATATGTATTTTTAAAAAGTCACTCTTTTCACTGATTTAGATGCAAAAAATACGGTTATTTTTTGAAAAACATATTATTGGTGTTAACATATACCTTTGTTATTGTTACTTTTAAATGAATTAATAAGTATTTTTAAATTTCTGTTTTAATTTCTAATAGGGTCAGTATCAATAGTCATAACCCACATAGACAGGAGCTTGCTGTAATCCTCAGTAACTCTTAAGAGTGTAAAAAGGGTCCTGAGACAAAAATGTCTGAGAACCACTTAACTTGTACAGCTCCTTCTCTTAACAATTGAGGCTCAGAGAGGTGAAGTGACTTGCCCAGGATCCCACAGCTACTTCAGCCCCATTTGATTAGTATTGTCTCATTTTACTCTGCACTTGTTTCATAGCTGGTCTCTCCAACCAGACGGTGGGCTCTCTGAGGGCAGGGCTGACCCAGCCCTGTCCTGAGGTATCCCTTAGGGACCTCCAATGTTAGAATCTGGTGACCATGAAGTTTGAGGGGACGTGAGGGGTCCCCTAGTCTAGTCTCCCACAGCATTGAAAAGTCCACTGTGAGCATCCTAGCCCACCACTTACCCAGCTCCTGGCCAGTTACCTGGGCAATATGACAGGGACACACACTAACAACAGAGGGAACCCGTACCAGGTTAAGGCAGCGCTCACTGCCCGAAACAAATGCCTCTAAGTGGAGCAAAAGCTGCCTCCTACGCAGAGACTCATTTGGTGACTGACTGCTGGCCAAGCCTGGCAGGGTAGAAGCCAGGGGTCCAGCGCTGGGCCCGGCCCCCGCCCCGCCCCGCCCAACCCCTGCCCAGGTAGCACACACACCTGGGGTGCGAGAGGAGCCTGCGGTGCTGAGCTTCCAGGAGCTGCTGCTGCAGGAGGTATTGCTGGTGCAGGGCCTGAGGTAGGAAGGAGGGACCTGTGACGTCCTGGAACTGCAGGGTGGGCAGCGGGGTCAGCGACTGATGCAGGGCGCCGCTGTGCTGGTGGGCCGGGGCCATGTGGGCGCTGAGGCCCGGCTGCGACTGCACCGGGTGGGCCAGGGGGAAGTCGGGAGCGAGCTGCTGCGGCTGGGGGGGGCCCAGATGGAAGTGGCGGCAGGAGGTAGCGTGAGGATGCTGAGACCTTTGAAATGGGGCACCTGGAGAAGCAATGACAAAGACTCCATGAGGACCAGCCCTGCTCCCCTCTCCCACAGACTCCATCTCCCCCTACCCCCAACCTGTAGCTGGTGAAACTCAAGACCTTCATTAGAACACAACAGTGTCATCACTTTTGTATGCAAATGGTCATCGGTGCTCCCTAGTAAAGGCTCTGTGCAGTATGTGTTGGAGAGTGGGGGGAGTATTTTGTTTAATAAATAAATAAGCATCCTCTTTTAAATGAACACACTTGTTAAAGGAATTTTAAGGTCCCTGGAGGCAGTTCAGCTTTCTTAAATTTCTCCCATGAACCTTCTTGACCCTACTACCTTTTTAAATAGACGCCCAGAGAACATTGAGTCCAGCCTAGTCAAGCTCTGAACTCTACTGAAGACTTCGCTAGCCAGGACCCAGCCGACAGGGAGCCCAAATTTCCAAAGAGAAAACAACCAGAAGTTGTTCTCCATGCAATTTTAAGAAAAATAAAAAATCTAATCCCACAAAGTTTTTACGTAATAATGAAATAATTTGCTATAATATTATAATTTATTTAAAAGCAGAGATTTCCAGCAATAAGCTGGGCTCAACGCTGCATTTAATCTAGTCTCCACTACCTTCTAAATAACATTGACCTTGATGATGACAAAGCCTTACAAATTTTCCATAAGCAAAGATCCAGCTCTCAGCGTTGGAGTCCTTTAATAAGGAAGGAAGTGAACTTGGCACCTCAGGAAGCTTTACAGAGGCTTCCTGCTAAACACGACAGGTTCAACATATATCTGCTCCTTCCCAAACCCCACTGAAATGAGAGCAAAGGCATAAAGAGAAAATAAACAGACAAGGACAGAGAGAACAGGAGAGGTGACATCAGCAGGCAACAAATGTCAACAGATTTTTGGAAGGTGGAAAGCAGATGGAGCAATTAGCAGAGCTGGGGAATTGGAAACCAAGCACCTAATGAAGGCGCAGTCAACGAGAAGCGGACAGATCTTGCCACACGTGCTGGAAGGGTCAGGACAACTCCTGTGGTGGCAGGAGAGATGGCGGCGCTGAGAACAGGGAGGCTGGTGGCCAGTCTCTATGAGGAGCAGTTCTGCCCAGGGCATCTCCCCTCTCCCATGCAGGGCAGTGACTGCCGCTCCCTCGCCCTGGCATTTTGCAGGGAAACTGAGCCAGAAAGGCTCCAGTAGAGGAGGACAGGGGTGCAGCACCGTGCTCAAACGGGGGGGTTAAGTGAAAGTCTTATACATGGAACTCTGGAAACCCCTGCTCCCTTCTGCCTCTTGGTTCAGAGAGTGCTGCCACTCAGGTGCCCCTCCCCTGCAACCCCACAGCCCCAGGTTGGAAACTGGCCCCAGAAATAGCTCTGCAGTTCCCTCTGGTTGGGAGTACCCCGTAAAATGGTTGAGTCCCCCGCTGGCGACTCCATAATAAAGCCCATAGAAAGGTCCATATCGATACACACACACACAGATTCTGGAAGTTACTAGTGATCTACTCTTCAATATGAACAGACAGCCAAGGACGACCAGTCCCTTGAGGAAGATTACAAAGTGAAAAGAGAGAAAGAATATACTAAATTAAAATAAAATAAAATAAACTCAGAGAAACAGAAGTCATGCAAGGATCTGAAAAAAATAAACTTCAAAACATTTGAATTAATATCCTCAGAAAAATGATGTCGGGTCCATGAGACAACAACAAGCTCCTTTAAAAGGAGCGATGAAAAAACAAGAGAGCTCTTGGAAATTAAAAATATAAGAGGTGAAATCTGAAATTCAGCAGAAGGGTTGGAAGATAACGCTGGGGAGATTTCCCAGGAAGCAGAACAAGAAAACAAGGAGTTGAGGAAAAAGATACCAGCGTTGAAGGATGCAGTCAGAAGATTCCACAGTTTTCTAGTAAGAGAGAAAGAATGGAGAAAATTGTGGAAAAAAATTCTTTAAAGTATTTCCCAGAACTGACGGTCAGCTTCTGGATAGAAAAGGCCCTCTGAGTGCCCAGCAAAATGGGGGGAGGGGGGGAGAAGAACCACACACCAAGGCATCTCCCTGGGAAGTGTCCAAGCAGTGGGGCAGAGAGATGATTCTGACACCTTCCAGAGAGAAAGCAAACTGGTCCCATTCGAAGGGTCTGGGAGCAGGATAGCACCAGATTTTTCAAGGGCAACATTGGAAGCTTGAAAACAGTAGAGCAACTGCTTTCAAGGTGCCGAAGGGGTGTCGGGGGAAGATGTTCAATCTAGAATTCTGTGCCCAGCCAAACTATTAATCAAGCGTGAGAGTAGAATAACACCATTTTCAACCATGGAGGGTCTCAAAATAATTAATCTTCTCACACCCTTTCTCAAAGAACTACTGATGCAAACCAAAAGAAAGGAGCAAAGAAATAGGGGGTGACACCTGGAAGGGGGGGCTTTCCCAAGCACATGGCTGTACAGGGCCTCCAGCAATCATTTCAAGGCAGGGAGGAGGGAGGGCGCTCTGAGGGGTAGCTGGGGGTGGATCAAAAATATAACATTACCGTCAGATTTGGTCACATGAAAATAGTATTTGAAGGAATTTTCCAATTTTGTAGAGCATTTGGTAAGAATTTGTAAAAATGTCCCAGAAAGCAGACAATTATTACCTCTAGGAAGAGAAAAAATTGTTCAGAAAGTGTAATTATTACATACTACTTGGTTCAGCAGTGAACAGTATTTATATATTAATAACACAAGCATTAATAAACTATTTTAGAATAGAAAAGGACATTTCTTCCATAAGAAGAAGAAAATAGACAATGTCAAAATTGAAAAATCAACAAAGAGCAGTAAAAGAATTTATTTAGAAATTTACTTAGTAATTTATATATTTCAGGAAGTAAATACTCGAAGAAGAGTTGGAAATGTTGAGCTTCTAGTGGTGGGACTAGGGTGGGGAGGGCAAGGGGCAGACAATTGCTGTTTTACTAAATGTGTCTTATATTGGAGCTATCTGACTTTGTAAATGACATGCAGGCCATTGATAGATTTTTTTTAATCTTTTAAAAATAAATATTTGCAAAACAAAATGGAAATAAAATGCATTTCTGGCTCACTGCAAGTGAGCCAGAAAAGAATGATCTAGAACCTTAATTCCCACCAGCATTCCAGATCAGTAGGGCCTCCTCTGCCTGGTGAATTCTGGCTTCCATGAGTCCAGGGGCTGTAGCCTGAGCAAGCAGGCTCTGGATTCCCTCTTCTCCCTCACCACCATCTATCATACCGTAAAAAAAGGAGGAGAAGGTCCACGTGACCAAACGAAGGAGGGCAAGAAGGGAAAGGAGAGCTGTCGAAAGCTAACAAAGTGAAAGACAGGCATGACTGCAGAAGAAGGGAATGGGGTTTAACTGAAAGACAGGCATGACTGCAGAAGAAGGGAATGGGGTTTAACTGAAAGACAGGCATGACTGCAGAAGAAGGGAATGGGGTTTATAAAAAAAGGATACTGTAAAGACTCCTATCCAACACTGTCTATTAAATTACAATGTGAGCCACATATGTAATTGTAAATTTTCTAGTAGCCACCTTTAAAGAAGTAAAAAGAGACAGGTGAATTTAATTTTAATAGTGTGTGTTATATAACTCAGTATATCCAAAATATTGTTTCAACATGTACTCAATATAAAAAAATGATTGAGATATTTTACATTGGGCTTTTTTTCATATTAAGTCTTCAAAATCCAGTGTACATCTGGCACTTACAACACACCTTAGTTCGATGGCCACTTGTGGTTAGCGGCTTCCGTGTTGGACAATGCAGCCCAAAAGAAAAAGACCAACTCCGTACGTAGAGCAAAGAATCTTAGCCAAGTTTGCTAACTGGTCTGCCTTCAGAGGGGGCGTCCCCACTGCTTACTGGTGAGATGCACACCCCTTAGCCTGATCCTCAAGCTCCATGCCCCTGATCCCCACCGCCCAAGCCCTCCCGACATCGGATCTCCAGACACTCCAGCACATTCCCACCCCGGGGCCATTGCTCATGCTGGTTGCTGCCTTCCCTGTCTTTAAAGGTTATCTCTCAGCAACTCAAAAAACGCCTCCCCTGCCTGCCAGCCCCCAGGGACGCCTTCCTCCTCTGCATTCCTGTAGAAGGCCCTGTCACTACCACTCATTTGGCACCTGGCAGTAGCTACCTTGAGCTGCTTCTTCACACTCACCGCCCCCAGCTGGCTGAGCTTCCTGTCTTGCTGTTTCTGGATCCCCACGCACCTCCCTGGAGCTGGCACTCAGTAAATACCTGGTTGGCTGACTGCTGGAGGGACTGAGGGAAAAGCAGTGGCTCCAGGCGACTGACGCACTGGGGCTGGTTGAAGGCCAGCTGATTTGAAATCGAGAGGGAAAGAGAGTGGCAAGTAGGCCCGGGTGAGCTCAAGGTTTTAAAGCTGCAGTGCACAGGGACTGAGCAGGCAGAGCAGGCCAGCGTCCTCCCCCTCGGGGGCTGGTGGAGCCTCTCCGACCACCAGGAGCAGCAACTGCCTCCCTCCCACAAGCCCCTCCTGCCAGGAGGGCGCCCACCCTGTGAGGGAGGCCCTTCCGGTTTCTATGGAGGCCCATTAGGGAGAGGACCGTCCACCACCCTGGAGAGGTTTCCACTCTCCTGGAACCTGTGCCCTCCAACTGATGCACTGGGCAGTGAGAGCAGCTGCCCTCTCTCCTGGATGGGCAGCAAGAGAAAAGTGAACAAAAGTGTCTATATGTCTCATAATATTTCAGGCAATTTCTACCTGCAAAAGTCCTTTGACTTCTGTTCTGGGACTTTGTGCCCCCTCTGCCCTGTCATCTCCATCCCCAGAGGGTTCTCAGTCTCATCAGCTCTGCTCAGAAGGACATTAAAGGCAGGAGACATCCATTCTGGGGCCCCTGACTCACCCCAACCCTGTGTGCTGTAGGGTCTGTGAAAGTAGCAGCTGCTGTATTCGGTCTCTAAGACCAGAGGAGTGAAGTTCTTAGGGTAGACTAGTCGGGCCCATGACAAGC